TTACAGAGCAAGCATCTAATCCACTCAGAGTCAGAGGCTACCTGAGTCTTCCCTAACCTGTGCATGCAGACCTCAGTGAGAATGAAAACAGTTAAACAATGGCAGGAAATGCTTCGAACTTCACAAATATACCACAGTTATTTGTTTTGGTGAAGTTTCTAACGTTATTTCAAATTTTCTATGTTTATCAATAATACAGCAATGAACATTTTTTGCATGTAAGTCTTTGTTCATATCTTTTTAAGAACTTAAAGTGAAAGTACCTATTACAGTTTATTTTTATTCAAGGCTCTGGTCTGGAAACCACTTTAGTTTCCCTTGGGCTCAATTTTAAGGTCTGAAACAAAGACATAATATTTTGCATAATGGGGAAAAATTGCCTAGGACGCTTCCCTGTTGGCACTGTAAGTCAAGAAGGATATTCTGGCCGGGTACAGTGGCTCATGCCTATAATCCTAGCACATTGGGAGGCCAAGATGGGCAGGTCATCTGAACCCAGGAGTTGAAGACTAGCCCAGGCAACATGGCAAAACCCCGTCCCTACTAAAAATACAAAAATTAGCTGGACATGGTGGTACATGGTGGTCTCAGTTACCCAGGAGGCTGAGGTGGGAGGAGATCACTTCAACCCAGGAGGTGAAGGTTGCAGTTAGCCCAGATCATCATGACACTGAACTCCAGCCTGGACAACACTGTGAGACAATGGCTCAAAAAAAGGATATTCCTGCACTACAGATGGAAAGCTTCTTAGCTTCTAAAATGTGTCTACTCTCATGCAATGGTTGGCCTACTGGGTCACTGAACTTGGAAAGAAGAAGCTTGCTCCTTCATTACACTGATTGATATAAAGTTTCTTCCTTATTTCCTGGGGAAATAATATTTTGAAAACAAATCTGTAAGACTTTGGTAAAGAACATTACTAAATACCAGGAAATAAGTAAGTCAGAAACCCTAACTCCCAATTTCCCAATTAGCTGAGCATCACCCATCCTTGGCAAAGTTGTTGTCTTAGCTGGAGAAGGTATGGGCGTATCTCTACCCACAGGAGAGAAAGTTTATATTTGGGTCCTTCTCTCCTCTCTTCTTTGATAACATTCAATAGCAACATGTTTGCAGGGAGATTCTAAAAGGCATTGCCTCAAGTCTGAATTTTGATGATTTCCATGACTTTTATAGCTTATTGGCTTGTGAATTCTGCAGATATGAAACCACAATTCTAGCCTGAAGCCTCAGCAAAGACATCTCAGCTGAACTGGCTTGGCCGCCAATACTCCAGCTGCCCCCATTGCTGACCTAGGCTGCAGTTTGATGGGTGGTGAGAAAGGCTGCATGTGGGGAAACGGACAGGGAGGGGAAGCTACCCTCAGAGATAGGCTCATCTGTGGCCCAAATTTAGCTGCCCTGGGGGAGTGGCTGGCTCTGACTAATGGCTAACAGAAGCTATAGCCAGAGTAAACTCTTCACTACTTGACAAGACTGAGCTGGTGGAATGAAAGATGATTCCTAGTAGGGATGGTGGTCTAGATAGCAGCAATAATATATTTAGTGCTCACTCGGAGCCAGTGCTCCTCTAAGCACTTCCAGATACTCATTAAATGCTCATGGCAACCCCACAATAGAGGTATTAAAATGCTCTTTTCTTTACACAGAGGAAACTGAGGCCCAGAGAGGTCATGTAACTTCCTCAAGGTCACATGGTTAGTGAAATGATAGAGCCACATTTCAAAGCCAGGTAGTATGATTGTAGCACCTAGGCTGTTAACCATGGCCTCTTATTGCTCAAATGTAATGGTGCTCCTGTCAAAGGCAAAACAGCACTTAGTCCATCAAGAAAAAGCTTCAGAAGCCACGAAAAAAAATCAGCGAATGTGGTAATAATCCTTGGGCTGGAGTAAGACATGAAGAGAAAAACAATGCAAACCCTGGGAATGATTGTGATTCTTGAGCACCTGGATAGCATAAGCTTCTGTCAGTCTCACGCAACCCAAGAACCCTTCGTATTTTGATCTTGGATATGTGGCACAAGAATGGCTTTTTACTAATCAGGAGGCATTTTGCATTTTTCTGCAAAATTAGAATTCAAAATTATTACAGATGTTAGGTATGAGGTAGCATCAGCTCCAGGAAGCTTTTAGGTGCATGTTGCAAATTATATACTGAAATGCAACGTACCATCAGTGAATAGCTGCTTTTGCCACAGAGCGGGGCAACTTGCATTTTACACTCACCAAATTGAAAAGAAATAGACGTGAAAAAAGGCATGAAGCAGCATGAGTTCTAGGATACATTTCTACTCTCCAGGGTGACGTAAAATAATATCATTTTGAAAGTGGTTAGAATTAATTTTTTGAGGTCAGTCTGATGTCACTTATTATGAAGAAAAATTCATATGTGAATTATAAGAATTTGTACCTATTATTTTCCAGATCTACTTATGCATGGATTTTATTTGCAATAGAAAAAGCGTTTGTGGTTTCTTTACATAGTAAGTGCATGTGTGTGCACGTGTATACACACACATTCCCCTATACATTTAGAAATAAGGCTATCATACTTCAAATAAAGCTGAGACTTTAAATACATGCTGAACACTTTCATTGTGGCAATATACTTTTTATTTTTATTCTAGTCCTTTAGTTATTCTGCCCCAATAAACAATGTGAAAGACTGGAATAGCTGCAAAAGCTCTCTGTGAACACTTTCTTCAAGTGTAAATTATTGGAAGGCTGTTTTTTTAACGCATGAAAATCCTTAGTTTTGTATCCTTTTAATCTTGGTGAATCCATCGTACTGACAGAATTCTGCTTTTAGTCTATGCTTAAAAATCGGATTTATTTCTCCAGCTTATCATGAAGAAAAGGAAATGAAATTTTACTTTCAGATGTATGTAATTTGGATTCTGCACATATTCGCTGAGGTTTAATGCTTCTGTAGTTTTCACTTCTGAATTTGTCAAGGCTTAAGCTAAACAGGGCAATTCTCTCCATGAGGTTCTGGTGGTTTTTTTTTTTTTTTTTTGGGTAACATTATCATATAAAGTTCTTATTCATTCTCAATAACTTTATTTCTTGAGTATTATTTAACACTCATCCCTCCCCTATCCCACATGTGCTAGAAACTCCCATGAGCTATAAGAATTTTTAGGACTACTACATGCGTGCATTTATTTACTTTCTCTTAATGCTCCTTTATTCTCATGTTTCCATACCCAATATATTGGGCCAAATCATTTCAATATGAAAAATGCACAAATTTTCCTATCGCTTCCTCTATTCTATTGCTTGTAGTCTGCTAAATGAGCTCTGGAAGAGTGTTGCAGAAAAGAAAAACAACAAGGAAGCCTGAGAATCTGCAAAGGTGACCAGCTGGAAGACAAATAAGGGCTATGACTGTCTCCTGTTGGTTAATCTCATAGAACCTTAGAGCTGGAGGAGCTTCAGAAGTTGCATTCATCTACTTTTCCCCCCTCTACTGCCACCTAGAGGAGGGTGAAACTGCCTTTGCAAAATTGTAACTGAGGAAACTATGACAGTGAGAGAAATCAGACCTAACCGACTCCATCTTGCTTCTAACCTTTAGGCTATCCTTGTTCATTCCTGGGTGTAGGCTGAACTAACTTTGGGAAGGAATTCAGTTCGTGGTTGGATCCAAACAAAACTGATAATAGCCCTTTCCCTAAAAGACCCCCTTCTTTCCTGGGGACCAGTCTGCCTTTGTAGGACTAACAAATTAGCTACAAGATTAGAATTACAGTTTAGAGGTCTTGTAGCCTCTGGCTCCTAGAGTCTGAACCTCCCAAAATTTCTCTTGGGGATAACATCACTATCGTAAAATCTAAGATCAGTGCTTGAGATATTTTGCAGATCCTGCACTTAGTGTCTCTCAGCTGACACCACCCATACCAATAATCTGGCTTAAGCAGGTCTGCCATCCCACCCCGGAACAGAAGACAGCAAGAAAACCATCTATGATTCCATCTCCAACCTCACCAATCAGCACTACCCACTTCCCAAGCCCCTACCCACCAAAGTATCTTTAAAAACTCTGATCCCGAATACTTGCAGAGACCGATTTGAGTAATAATAAAACTCCATCTCGTGCACAGCCAGCTCGGTGTAAATTACTCTCTCTCCATTGCAATTCCCCTGTCTTGATAAATTGGCTCTGTTAGGCAGCAGACAAGGTAAACCCATTGGGCAGTTACAAAGGTACCAGTGTCTCTGGACACCCAGGGATGTTTAAATGGCCTTCTGACTATGTCTCATGATTCCACTCTTGCTTTTTCCCCAACCCCCAACCCTTTGCTTTCAATTTCCACAAGCATTTAGACTCATCTTTTAAAAATATAAATCAGATTTCAGTCCACTGCTTAAAACCCTCCAATGGTTCCCACAGACTTAGACTACAGTTTGAGACTTCCTTATGGACAGCACAGGAAGCCGGCACAGTGTGGCTCCTGCCCGGTTCTATGCCTTGGTCTCCTGCCACTCTCTGTTGCTCCTCATACTACAGCCACACTGGGCTTCTGTATATTTCTTGGATGCCAAGCTCCTTTCCACCGTAAGCCTTCTGCCTGGACTGATTTTTTCTGCAGATCCTTTGCATGTCTGGTTCCATTCTGTTGAACAGTTCTCAATCAAGTACTTTCTTAGAGAACATTCCCCAACTAACCCATAAAAAGAAGCACCCCTGCTTTCACGGCAACATTACCACATCACTCTGGTTTTATTTCTTCCTAATTTACAAATGAATGAAGAACTTCTATAGGGGTCAAAGGGTTAAGAGCATTCATTGTGTTCTTGCCTTCTTCTTGGGCCAGAGGTCAGCAGCATTCTTCTAGTCAGTGGTATGGATGCCTTATTTGTGCCCACAGCCTATGGCTTTCAGACTACACAGTTATGCCCCCGACAGTTTTCCGATCTAGTTGTCCAGTATCTCTACCACTGGAACAAATCAGAACAAGCCCCCTTATTCAAATGCAGGCAAATTTGGGCACTTACTTATAGTAGATCCAGACTCAGGCCTGTTCAGGGAGCTGATGATGACAAAGCCAAAGCCCTCGTTCTCTTTGCGGTGAATGACCACATCACTGGTCTGCAGGCTGTGGGAGGCGAAGCCTTCGGGAGGAGAGGCATTGCTACTGGGGGCAGCATGGTTGCTGTTGGTGTAGGTTGCGTAGTCACTGCGTGGAGAGCTGTGGTGGGTGGATACAGAGCCTGGACTTCTCCCGTTTTCTGGGCAGGGCTCCCCTGGAGAGAATACAACACACACGGGTAAGCAATTACTTGTCAAGGGACTCAATGAATGCTTCCTATGTACTAGGCACTGTTCTAGACACTGGTATTGTTACAAGACTGGTTGACTTGATTCTGTTTCTCCCAGATACGCAGAGCATTTGAAAAACCTCAGACCTAGGTGTAGAGCTTCCAAGGTCTTGCTCAGTTCTAGTTTTTATAGCAAACACAGGTAAAACCCCTCATCAGCCTCCTTTGCACTGTTACTTATTTATATCTTCTTCTTGTGAGAACTGCAAACCCCTGGGACAATACCTAGTTTTAGATATTAAGGTTCTTCATTGCATAATAATAATTTACTGAAGAGGGTCACAAAACAAGTAGAATCTTAAACTATATGGTGCATAAGAATCACTTAAATAAATTATAAAAAAAGTACATCTTCACGGCCCACCCACAGAATGTTTTTTCAGTAGATCTGGGCACAGAAATCTGCATCAAGTTTCAAGGCTACACTTTGAGAAATGCTACTGTAGATGTATTATAATGAGGGTTAACAGCGCAGGGGCCATCCATGTAAAGTTAACCATCGTGCATTTTTCTAAAGAGCTGTAGTTCTATTTTATAATATTCTGCTAGCTTAGAAGTGTGACTTTACTTCATGTATGTGGAAAATATACTTCTTAAAAGTAGTTTGCATGGCTTTTTGTATATCAACCATATCACAATGAAGTGGTTTAAAAGAAAAATAAGTTGAGATTTTTATTAAAAAATATTTTGCTCACTCTAGGATCAAATTAAATTTCAGGCTCTGAAATGATGAAGCTTGAATCTCTAAGGAGCTGTTGAAAGTCTTCTCCATTTTACAGTCCATATTAATATAAAATATACTCTGTTATCAACCAGATAAGCCAAACCAATACTTTCACGAGAAAGCCAGCATATTTACATGGAGAAATGATAGAAAGTTGGCAGCCAAAAGAAGCTAGTTTTTGAAATGAAAGTTTATCTGTCACCCAGAAAGAATTTTGTCATTTTAATTTAATACCTGGGTATTGGCACTCTGATGAAAAGAACTGAAGCGGGCACCTAGAATAATGTAATTATAACTAGAGCTGCTTTCATTCCCAACTTAAAATTTGATTAGTGTACTCAAAAGATGTTTATGGAACAGAGGAAAGATGGAGAATAATCACCATTAATTATTCCGTTTTGGGTCCCTAGATATAGTATCCTATTTAGAAACTCTGGAAGGTGTTGCGTATGGCGAATTAAAAATCATTAGCAAAAGTTCCAATGAAGACTCTTAACCTTATAAGCTGCAATTCCATTTTGAAATAAAAACATCAGGGAGAAGAAAACAAAGACTGCAATGCAAGAGGTGTTTTGTTACATCGATACCTAAAAAAAAAGCTGCATTTGTTTATATACTTAGATTTTTAAAATGGTCTTACAAAAATGTACTCATTTCTTGTTTGTAATTACAGAATGAATGAGACACAGGCTGTTGCTTGTTATTATTTGATAAATTTGATTTTTCTTTAAGATCTAATTAATCATGTTTAAATAAAAGAAGAAAATGGATGCTTTTTATAAGAAATGTACTGAGGTCATAGAAGGACAGAATGTCAATGTCAAAGCCTTTCTTTGTTTTCAAACAGAATTTAAAACTTCGCTTGTAAAACGTGCCCTCCCTACTGGAACACATCATCCAAAGACAAGTTGTCTTGGCGCATCACATATCTTTTATCAGTCCTTGTACAAGTTGGAAATAAAGTGATTAGAGATAGGAAGAAGAAAAACGAACAATTATTATGGTGCTACATTAAATTGAAAATCTCCTTGAGCTATTGGACCAAATCAGTAACTAAATGTCATAGGGAGTGACAAGAGATCTCATTTTCTGGCTGTCATATTTTAGGAGGTTGAGAGCCGTGGTTGTCAGTAGATCGGCAACAAAGAAGAATTATCTGTCTTTGCAGTAAATGGCTGGGAGTGGCTGCATTACAGGTTCTAGAGAGAAAATCATTGACTAAGGCAATGTGAGCATTCTCTGGGTAAGAGAAAGAATCATGTACATTAATAGGATACTTTTCTATTGGCTTTGGACTTCTCTTTCAACTTCCAGAACAAAGTTCTTTATCTTTAGCCAAATGAACATCTTTAAAATCAGGAAGTTAAGAAGACTTCGAAGTTCTTCTGGGGCTTGTTCTGGGCCCTTGACACTTGAAAACTGGTCACATGATTGTCTTTCAGGGATTGACCCCATATCATTTTTCTACTCATCTGGCTCTGGACCCAAGTGAGACTGTCTTCTTTCCAACAGTCCTTCCTACTGTAGGGCATTAACATCCCTTTTTTTTTTTTTTTTGAGATAGAGTCTCGCTCCGTTGCCCAGGCTAGAGTGCAATGGTGTGATCTTAGCTCACTGCAACCTCCGCCTCCTGGGTTCAAGCAATTCTCCTGCCTCAGCCTCCCAAGTAGCTGGGATTATAGGTGCCCACCACCAGCCCAGCCAATTTTTGTATTTTTAGTAGAGATGGGGTTTCACCATGTTGGCCAGGCTGTTCTCGAACTCCTGACCTCAGGTTATTTGCCAGCCTCAGCCTCTCAAAGTGCTGAGATTACAGGTGTGAGCCATCGTGCACAGCCAATAGTCTTGTTTAATCATAATATGGTAAAACACCATAAAGTGACTAAATATCATGTATTATATAATTTTTAAAAGAAAATTCACTAATTTTCAGGATCCCTGATTCATTCTTCTAGTTCATACACAAATGGCTGCATAGAATTCAGTCGGTTAGTATCTACTCAAGTCAAATAATTAACTTTTAGGGTAAGCTGCTTTGTCTCCACCAGTCACAGTGGAACTCATCACTGCGCTAAGAGAACGTCTCCCATTGGGATTGTGGGGATCATTGACAATGCCTGCCAGGTGAGATGGTGTAGACCAGGACATTTAACTATTGGCCAGGGGCTGTTCCTGGTCTGCACAGTGCTGGCCTGTACTTCATTTGAGAATTGTTAAAACTAATTGCCAATATTTGTACATAGGGAGACTGTATAGAAATGCTGATCTGCAGTTTCTCTTGACATGTTTGGCACCAATTGGCTGGAGCTTGGCAATGGCAGCTACCTCAACTGGGTATGGGGTTTGCAGGTCACCATAGTCCTGCCCACTCCCCAAGACCTCTTGCAAATGTCTCATTTACTCATTTATTCATACAGTGAGGAATTCTCAGGGCTGAAGGAACTTGTTCAGCTGGGCCCTTAGTTTCTCTTCTAGACCACACACTACATACCAGGATTCTAGAATTCTGTAACCATATAGACCTTGCATCTAGGGTGTGCCTGGGTCTCTTCTCAGGACTGTCCCTGAAAGGATGAGAGTGTTGCAGACAGGCATATTTTGCCTTGAAGCATGGCTGAGGCAATGGGATATATGTATGGACAGAGCTTGGACATGTGGGCTGTGATGTCCACATGCATGTGCACCAGGTCCCTCGTGGTACCTCATGAGGGAGGAGCAGCCCACAGGTTGTGGCCCTGAAAATGTTAGGGGCTGGCCTGCCTACAGGCATCTGTGCAGACATTCCCAGTTTATACTCCTCAAGGCAGACAGCTTATTTAAGTGGGTGACATGGTTGCAGACAAAGAACAAGGGAATACATTTAGAATTGGTGAGAAGTGTAGTAACCAGGATCAGGGAATGCACTAGCACCTTCGATACTCGCTAAACTTTTGCTCCATCTGCTAAGATAACCTCCCATTTCTTGGCATTAGGCCAAGAATTAGACTTTCCCTTAGGTGTTAGAGAAAAGATGCTGACAGCTTTAAGACTGACTCTAACATGTTTTGATGAAGTCATAAAACGTTCTTTCACATCAATTCCAGATGTACTTTTTAGGAAATTTCTCAGAGACATGATGTGCATTCAAATGTGCCATTAGGTTGAATATCTCAAAGCTGATCCACTGAATATATAAATATTTATGCTTTTCAGTATAATAATTGAAGCCACCCTTCTAATATCCTTGGGAAAATGAACAACTAAATACTGGAGCTGAGGCATGGATAGGCATCTTCTCTCAAAAACTGATACAAGGTGAAAGTGTGTGCTATGACTATCTGGTAAATAAAACTGGAGGCAATTTACTATCCATAGCTGCCTGCTAAAGCAACAAAATAAAAATAAACGAAGAAAAGAAAAATTGGAAGCACTACTGGATACCTTCTTCCCTCACTCAACAACTTCTCACTTTTGAGAATCTAGTTTATTTTCTGATTGAAAATTCTGGCTTTCTAGGCCAGGCATGGTGGCTTACACCTATCATAGCACTTTGGCAGGCTGTGGTGGGTGATCACTTGATACTAGATGTTCGAGACCAGCCTGGGCAACATAGTGAGACCCTGTCTCTACAAACAAATGCAAAAATTAGCTGGGTATGGTGGCACACACCTGTAGTCTCTGCTATTCGGGAGGCTGAGGCAGAAGGATCACTTCAGCCTGGGAGGTTAAGGCTGCAGTGAGCCGTGACTGCACCACTGTACTCCAGCCTGGGAGACATTTTCTCAAAAAGAAAAAAAAAATTTTGCCTTTCTATCCTTAGTATGTACATTTAAAAATAACTTAATGTTTGGGGCAAGTTTTTGTGTTATCTTAATTTTTGCTCAGCGTAACTAACCTTTTTATATCTCTCATAATGAATGTGTTCTCTTTCTTGAGCATCAATGAAGAAGCCAGTGCTCTCTGTCTTCTGAAGTGAGGTGGGCATTTGTACAAGCTGAGGCAAGAAGAAGGCTGAAGCATGTCATCCCTATGACCTTGCTTCTTTTTAGCCCTTTGCCCACAGCACTGCTCCTTTGTGCATGAGGGTGGTGATGCTGCTCCTCTTCCTGCTCCTGTCTCTTCCTTAGCTAATTGCTCACTTCCCCTCAGCTTAGAACCATCTCCTCCTAAACCATGCTTGCCCCTCCCACTGCCTTTGCTTAGGAATGCATAATAATAACAAAATAACAATGACAACAACAGTCCTTGAAAAGTCAACTCCATTGTCATATTCATTTGTAGTTGTCCCTTCTCACTTAGAAGAAATGGGAGCTATGAAGAAAAGTCACCTTGCTATGCATTTTTTTTTCTTTAAAATCTTTTCCACCCTGTTTCATGACATTACTTTGCTATCGAAGTATCCTTTGCTGAACTTAATATTTTCAGTACTGATGAAGCTTTCAAGGAAGAGTGGGCTGGATTAACTTGGAAACTCTCCTGGTGTGAATGAGCAATCTGCAGCAGAACATTTTCAAAAATTAAATGCACTTGAAATGCACTCAAAAGCCTAACTGAGTAAAGTTGGTAAGAGCTGCAGCAAAGAGCATCTTTACGAAGTCACATGATCCACAAATTGCAGGAATATATTTTTGCAGCATTTGGTACACACTTCAACAGCTTGGGTTGATTGAAAGAAAATTTAATTTGCAATAATCAGCTGGTGACAAGGGGAGCATGAAATTATGTTGGTGCATTGGTTTTGCACTTTGCGGTATATTTCCTTGTAAATCAGGTATCTTTTAAATTTATCTTTAGGTTATAGAACATATAGCACAGCAAACTTTTTATTAAAAATTACTCTGCAGGGAGAGAGACAGTAAAATGTTAATCAAGCAAGCACCGTCTTCCTCCTGGCATCTAGCCCAAGGATAAGGCATAATTTAAGATGCTTTACTTCTTTGGGTCAAGTGACATGCCATGAATTTCTGAAGACAAATGGCACCTCTTAGCAAAAACTCTATAAGATACAAGATATATAGCAGTCTCTACTGGTGAGGGCTGACAATTCTTTTGACTTGCCCTTTTAAATGACCGCCCTTGCTCATGGTCTAGTTTCTAGGGGGACTTAGAAAGAAAAGGATTTCTAGTCACACGAATAAGTCTTATCTTCTCTACTAGTCATTCACAGCCTATCATTATCCTTTGGTCCTCTTCTGGAATGCATCTGGTATAACAGCACATATGGGAAGACTCCCTGTATTAGGGAGTGACATCTGCTAAGATCTGGCCTAACATCTTCTAATTCACTAGGGGAGAGGATTGTGGTAGAATGGGGAAGTGGACAAAGTAACATAAAGAAATAAACACTGGCCCTAGAGAAGAGTCCATCTCCACGTTGTCACAATCTCACTGTGGATTACTGGGCAAGCTATCAAACCTCTGGGCCTCAGTTTCCTCATCTGTAACAAGAGGAAGCTCACATAGCTAAGGTCCTTCCTACTTCAAGTATTGATGATTCTGTATGAGGGCTACCAAGGGGTCGGGCAGAGCAGCCAGTGGGCCACTGGGCAGAAGGTGACAGCTGAACATAATTGAAGCTTCTGCCTCTGTGATTCACAGAACAAAGGCTGGGTGGTTTTGAGGGAAGATAATACAATCCCAACATTATTGAATGCTCAGATTCTAAAAAAGAGTGTGGTACTTGTAACTGACATATTCCTTGAAAATATAAATAATTTTTTTGTAGGGGTTGATATGGTAAAGAGAGATAAGTGAAATTGTATTATAAATACAAGGACTGACTTTGAAAAGTATGTCTTTGGTGGATTCCTTTATGAAGCTGAGAAAATGGATGTAAAGGGAATAATTACTTCTAATTTATCTGTTTCATAAGTTTGGAGCTATATGAATGTGTTTTCTTGGAGTGAGGTACAGCTGTATTTTTTCTGTATTGGGGCAGTAGCTTTATTGTTACCTTCTATCAGGCTCTACAAGGAAAGCTAATTTTCCATCCTGTCTGCCTCATTATGGCATCAAAATGCTGTGGCTGTTGGTTTGTAAACACATTTTCAAATGGCATATTTCCTGGTGCTATCATGTTCTTCTTAGAACTAGCATCTACCAGAAAGCAGAGAGCACATATACCTTAAATTAGAAATTCTAGAGATTTTTAATGACTACATTTAAAAGACAGGCTTCAAAGACTGAATCTTTGTCCTAGTGGGGTGAACATCAGCACTTTCAAAATCATCATTACTTTTGGAATATCTAGGTTGTTTCCTTCCTCATATAATGTAGACATGGATTTAAAATTTTGTTTCGCATGCCCTTACCATGTCTCACAAAAGCATCTGACCACCTACCCCTTGATTCTTGCAGTGCGCGCCAAGTACGTACCTCCACATAGCACCTTTCTTCTCACAGTGAGATTGACCTGCCCATTGCGGGCTGCATGGTGCATGAGGTCGATGACATAGCGGTGGGTTTTGCCAGCCACTGGAATCCCATCAACGTACACAAGCTCATCTCCTGGGTGAAGGCGGCCGTCTCTGTCTGCTGAGCCCATGGCAATGACGGCTCCAATCAAAATCTAGAGAAGCAGTGAGAAGGAAAGAAGGTTCACATTTCAAATCTTCTTTTTCCATTTTATATACAGTTATGTAACTTGTGGAAGATTTGATTCTCACATTCTATCCCTTGCCCTCAAATCTGACCAGCCACTTGTAAAGTAAAAAATGAGATGCGGGAAGGATGCCCTTTCAACTCTTTGAAGTTGCTTAGTACTAGAGATGAATATTTTGAACATGCCGCTGACTGCCATGAAGTTTTGGGGACACCTGCTTTCCGGCTCATCATAAATGATTACCTTAAGGAAAATTATAATCTCAAATAATCTGATGCTAATTGGCTGAAACAAGATGAGGAGTGAATTCTGGCTCCGTTTCATATTTATGTGGTCTTGGGTAAAGCTTCTTAAACTATGTGAGCCTCAGTTTCTTCACTTGCAAAATAAGAAAAATAATAATCGAACCTACTTCATGGAGTTATTGGGAGAATTGGATGAAATAACTCATGTGAAGCATTAAACTTCTCTCATGGCACTAAGAGTCAAGGGGAAAATAGCTGTTGCCAATTGCTAAATTCTGATAAAGATGGAAAGTTTCCTTTTTCTTTGCTTTGAAAAGCTGGAGGGTAAGGAGGACACAAAACAAAACAAAGCAAAACTCATCCTTGGCTTTTTCTGGTCAGTTGACTTACTCAAAAACATCTCAAACTTTCTCCGGATTTTTTGCTCCATTCTTTTAAATACTTCCTCGGAGCACTGTCCTCTATGCAAAGGACATTCCCAGTTTTGCTTGTTTGCTGAAGTGCTTCTGTTGTTTAGGTGGCTACTGTACCCATCTGGGAAATGTGGTTTTTTTTTTCTTTGAGACGAAGTCTTGCTCTGTCGCCCAGGCTGGAGTGCAATGGTGTGTGATCTCAGCTCACTGCAACCTCTGCCTCCCAGGTTCAAGTGATTCTCCTGCATCAGCCTCCCGAGTAGCTGAGATTACAGGCACCCACCACCATGCCCAGCTACTTTTTGTATTTTTAGTAGAGATGGGGTTTTGCCATGTTGGCCAGGCTGGTCTCAAACTCCTGACCTCATGTGATCTGCCCATCTTGGCCTCCCAAAGTGCTGGGATTATAAACGTGAGCCACTGCGCCTGTCCAAAATATGATTATTGTTATAATTCCCTGAACCAGGGACTGTGATGAAAGGCAACACATTAGGTTTCCCATGTCCCATGAGAGGCACTCAGTTTAGTGTCCATTAGCAGGGCTTTTTTCTTTCTCAGAGGAAAGAAAATAGCGTTACATATTTTAATTTTGTCGTTTAACCTATGAACAGTTTTTCAAACTCATGACCAATGGGTCTCCCTTTTCTTTTACCAGTGGCTTGGCCATATAGCAGCTGATGGCAGTGGTTACCATTAGCCTGATGACACTACAGAGGCTACATTTATTTTAAATCCCTTGCTTCCAGATTGATTTCCTTCAGGCATCATAATTTCTTTCAAATCCCCTATCTGTGAATTCCAGCTAATTTGCAGAGCTGCTCCATCATGACCTACGGGCTTGCGTGTGTTCAGGCTTGGCAGCAGAGCCATTCCTTTGTACTTAGTCTCACTGCTTAGTGTGGGCTGTCAACATGACAGCCAGATGTGAATGCCCAGGGCTTCTCAGGTATGTGCAAAGTAAAATTCTGAAGGGTGTCACAGCCTTAGTCCATGGAATAGCTCCCTTTCTACATAGGAATGAAAATTTCCCATGCTACTGCTGCTTGCTTTCCCCTTATTCCTGGGGAGGGAGGTAGGGTGAGTAGTAGATTTGCTTCCATGTAGAATATTAAGTGTTCTGACAAGTGATTCATGGTTGCTGTCACAGGAAAGGCTGAGCTCTCCTGCCTTAGACTGGCTACACAGTGCGGTTCTTTCCCTGCCACCCACTGTACCCATTTGCTACAGTCCAGAAGTTGGGTATGCTCTGACATTCTCCATTCTCCCTTCTTGTCATGCCAACCTGAATTTATGAGTTTCCTTATAAAGATGTTCCAGTCTATTCTTCAAAAGTCTCAACCCACTATGGAGCACTTCAAAGATTTGGTAAGTGCTTTGTGCAAAAGCCAGTTAAAATAAATGTTTCTCTACTGCCCCATGAAAAGGTACATCTAGTTGGTTTGATCCAGAGAAAATGCTTCAACCTTTAGCTTTCCTGTACACTTTAGTGAGAGAGTTTATTGTCAGTTAAAGAGGAAAAAACTGTCTTGTGAACTTCTTGGCTGGTTAATTATTAGTTTTAAGGCATAGTTCTGATTATAACTAATGAAAATGAAACACAAAATAGTAGTTACAACTGAGAGAGTCATAGCTGCTATTGGGCTCTACACAAAAATTGTAAAGATGAAATTTCATATCAGAAAATTCCTATTCCTCTCTTGCTGTAGGAGAACAGCACGGTATACAGCAACATTTACAGATGCTCTCGACATTACAGTCTGTGCCAATAGTTTAATATCATTTATTGAAAAAGGCCCAGTAACAGATCTGCTTTTCCACCATATTGTTGTGATATGAAGTACTCCCCTCATTAATTCATTTATTCAACAAATATTCATTGAGCCCAGGATACTTTTACGTACTAGAAATCCATCAGTGAACAATAAACAGCAATCACTCTCCTAAAGAGCATCCATTCTAGTGGTCAATCATAACTGTAATAAATGTTTAAATTATATAGTATGCCCAAAAGCATGTACTATGGAAAAAATACAGTGTTGGGAGTGGTGTCAGTCTAGGTAGTGGTAGAGTTGGTTAGAGTAGGCCTCTTATTTATTTCTAAATAGGCAGTATATTCAATTACCCCTTCAATTGAATATCTAATAAATAGCATATTCAATATAACACAAGTATGAATTATATAGTATTATATATTTATTGTATATATTATTATATAATTACATTATATAATGTATTCTTTACCATGTTTCAAAGAAAGTTTGCCATACTGTTAAATAAACTTGAATTGAGCTGCGCCTGGTGCGCTGTGTGGGTGCTATCAGTGCTTGGCCATTAGCAGCATTATACAGTTACATTTGTTCCATCCATCAGGGGCCGCAGCCTTTGCTGGCAGAGGCTGGCCACTTGCACCATCACTGCTTCCAGGTCCCCTGCCGCTGTGCTCCTTAGCCTTTGGCATTTGCCACCTTTTTGCATTATATTTTGCTGCTGACACAGAGATATCTCGATGTGTTGCTCTATTCCAGAAAAAAAACAACTTTTTTTCCTTTACTTCCAATATGATTTGTACACTTGACACATTCTATTATTTCCCCTTTGCTACTATAGGGACTGGATAATCTATGATTCCTTCTCACACTGTAACTCATATTGGTTTCCCAATGCATACATTCTCATGTTCGCTTAAGCTCTTGAGAACATGCCTCAGGATATCTGACCGTTGAAGTCAGTAGTTCTCAAACTTTTGGATGCATAGAAACCACAGGGTGAGCTTATTAAAACAGTACTGGATCCACCTCGTGAGAGTCTGATATTGCAGGCCTGGGAGGGGCCTGAGATTCTGCAGGTTTAACAAGCTCCCAGGAGTTGAATGCTGCTGGTCCATAGGTCAATCGCCCTTTGATAGCAAGGCTCTGATTCCTCTCACTTCCCAATAGCCACAGGATGATCATGTCCAGGTCAGCTGAGTGTATGACCAGAGTTCCCTGACCCATCACAGTAGTCACTTTGCAGTTCTGCTAAGGCACCTGTTCCCCTTACCGCTGGTGCTTGGATCAGGATCCCTTACCTACCAGGTCACTGACCTTCTAGTCACTGACCCCTGACCCACTGGCCAGTGAGCCTTCCCAGGCAATTCCAGCCTTGCCTCATTCATTACCTCCCGCTAGCCCAGGGGGATTCTTCAACCTCAGCTGACCCTTCAGTTCCAGTATTCAGTTTTCTCTTCTCTGCCCTCTGGGAGTGTGTGTGTGTGTGTGTGTGTGTGTGTGTGTGTGTGTTTCCCTACCCCCATTGCTTTGGCCCTGAAGAAAGAGCTTCGTGGCAAAACAGAGCAAGAAGGAACTTCTACATGAACAACTCATCTGTGGCCCTATCTTTTCAATTGCCTTCTCTAAAACCCCAAAGAAACAAAACAATTCTATTTTATGTCTCGCTGTGAGGGCACAGAACATAACAGAACATTTGATATGAAATGACAGCAATTCACATTCAAGTTGCTGAGATCCCAGTAAGTCAGGGGAAGAACTCACACTAAAAAGAAAACAACAACAACCACCACCACAACAGGTATGACACAAACCCAAAACCACCTTTCCAGGCCTTTTAATCCCTTTAGTTCCTTCCTGCACTGCCCAATGTTAGCCTAAGCCCAGGAGATCTGCTCTGTAGTATCTGTAGCCCGGGACAACTTGCCACTATGGTGAGCAGACTTCAGGCTCTTTCCTCCTGAAACTCCTGCACTGGGTATGCACCGGACTCCTGTGTCAAGCAAGGACTAGGCCTGTCATTGTCTGTCTTTGAATGGCTTTTCTCCAATGCAGTGTTTTCCATACCTCTCCCTCTTGATGCCTTTCTATCTCTTTTCAGCTCACAGCTGGAAATCCCATTTTTGTTCCTTTCTGGCAACTTTTCATTTCTTTCTATTTCTATTGCTATTTAACTGTGGAAAGTATTTCCTCTTGCAGGAAAAATGCCCGTATGCTTTGTCTGAGCAGGAGTCCTGCTGTTCATTATTTGCTGAAAGCCGTGCTGTTGTGTTTAATGTGCACTCTGGGATGTCGATACCATTTCATATATATGGAGGCAGAAACCCATTTGATGCACTTATGAGACCTCCTTTAGTTGGGACCAAATCACCTTACACGCCTTTCCCTTTGTAGCACACCAGCAACTAAATGAGGCTAACACATTTTGTTTGTTATCTCTGGACTTAGAATGTAGAAAAGCTGGAAGGAAAGGCTTGTGGGAGCTCTTTACTGTTTCACTCTCCTGGACAGGGTCATTCAGAGATGCAATATTGTGGTTTTCA